TTTACATTGTGGGTTTTTCTACCATAGTATCAACATGGAAGAGTGTTTTACCATTCACATGGAGTGAGTGAGTGTGAGTGAGTGAGAGTGAGTGTGAGTGTGAGTGTGAATGTGAATGTGAGTGTGAGTGAGTGAATGTGAGTGTGAGTGAGAGTGTTAGTGTGAGTGAGAGTGAGAGAGAGAGAGTGAGAGTGAGAGAATGTATAAGTGTATGCATTTGTGTATGTATGCACATGTAAAGTAAATTTGACTAATGCCAAGGTATACTTTCCCCAGGCGACTAATGTCACCTATGTTGATGGATTGGAGCTGCGTGATTTAGAAATGATTGCTGAGCTGAGACCAGGCTGCCAGATTGGATTGGGGGTCCCCCTGACCCATGCCACAGATGAAGGCATCCGTAACAGCCAGTATGTGTTCCTTCGGCTGTGTGAGCCAGAAGACCAGAATGAAAGCCACGTAAGTTTAGCTTAGGATATAGACTCCCCAGTTTTTATGGATACTGTGCAGAGGTACAGTTGCAGGCTTAAATAATAGCTGCAATGAAATACGGTAACAAATAGTAAAATTGATACATGTTAGATATTATATTTATGTCCATAATATTTACCTTTTATAAAAAAATAATCTTAATGTATATTTGATTATCTAAAAAGATAATGAAATAAGGCAGGACAGGTGAAGTGAGAAGTCAGATTTCAGTATATTTGAGACAGTGTGAACATCACAACCAAAGTATATATTTCATGGTCACAACTGTAGTGTAATTAGCTTTAGTGTAAAGATGATTAATATAGCTAGAATTATTTTTTTTTAATGAAAATATAAAACTTACATAATTTGAGGCAATGAGAATAGCAAAGTCCTTTTGGCCAAAACTTAGTTTTAAGATAATCAAGTATGAAAGTTTGAAAGATACCATCTCTGCTATGATTACATGGATTTTATTGTGGCTCACCTTAAATAATACCTCAGTTCAAGGCCTTTTACTTGTGTTCGTAAAATTTTGCGGTGCTGAAAAAAAAAATTAAAAACATATAAGTTCCATATTTGTTCACCATTAGGTAAATTTTAGATTTTATATATTTATTTATTTTTTTGCACCAAATGAATATTTATCCAACCTGTATACCCTTCTCCTTGATTTATGGAAATATTTTCTGGTATTTGTTATTGCTGTTAGTAATGTCAATAACATTATGATAATTATAAAGTCTATAATTATAATGATAGCATCAATATTGACCCATTGCTGCTAGGGAAAATAAACAAAAAATGGGAAAAATGCTGTGCTCATTTTTTATATTTTTGTGAAATGTCTCTGCACATAGATGGCTCTGCGAGTGCTTAGCCACAAAGGAGTCAGTTAGTAGATCTTGAGACCTTACCTGATTTCACCTTTCCTTAAATTGGCGGGAAAACATATTTTTTACTGGTGCTATAAAATGCTATAAATATCGATGGGGATAATTTTATAATAAACATTATAATTACTATAATGTTATAAACATTAGTAACAGAAAAATAAGATAACATAAAAATATTTTCATAAATCAATGATGAAAAGGGTGAATGGGCGAGACAGGCAGTACTCATGATTGGCTCACTGGTGACTTAGTACAAGTGTAGCCATCTATGTGTAAAAACAATTACACAAGTAAACTCACAATGGGCATGGCATGTACGTACATGCCATGCCCATCGGGAATGGGTTAATAGCATTAGTAAAAAAATAATGTTTTTCTAGCACACTTAAGGAAAGTGAAATCAGGTGAGGTCACAAGGGCTACTAGTTGACTCCTTTGTGGCTAAGTACTTGTGGAGCCATCTATGTGCAGAGACATTTCCACAAAACTGTACTACAGTGAACACTACATTTTCCTGGCAACAGGGGATTAATTGTTGCCATATGTCATCTGTTTATAAAATAAGGCCATGAAATAGGAAAGAGTTCTTCACCTAGATGTTTGGTTCTTCAAATTGTTTAGATGGAATTATGGCCATAGTAGAGTGAATTGCATGAAATAAAATATTTGAAAACAACTTTTTTGTTTAACTTAATAATTTTCTCTTTTCAGGGTAATACAAGCTGTTTAAATGAAACAGTGAATTTTTCTCCGGGACAAAGAGGGAGAAGACTTAGTAATAGCCGCCCACCCGGTAATACAGTACCCCGTACAGAAAAATCAGAGGATGCAAAGAAGAATGCAAGTAGAACTGGACCCCTTGGCATGGATTACTCTGAGACTCCTCAGGAAGGTGGCATTATGACAAGTGCATCAGCAACATCCTTTGACCCTCAGAAAACATCATATTCCCACAGTAGTTCTCAAAATGATTATGTAATGTCAAAGCTACAACCAAACTCCTCTGTTGGCTTTATCCCATGTATTCAGTCACCCACATCTACAGCAACCTCTTTGGTTGCAACTGCTAATGTGCCACATTCTTCAGGTACAACTAAATCTCCAGCTTTGTGTCTTGCACAACCAGAGGTCAGTTGCAATGGTAGTGGTGTAAAGGCACTACCATTGCTCACACGCATATCAAATGCCAAGAGAAAAGAAAGTCTAGAGCTTTTTGATAATACCGATTTGAAAGTTCAAGTTAGTATAGATAATCCGAAGTCTACTGAGCCTCTCCCAAGAAGAAACAGTAGAGATGACTGTATGGGATTAACTTCTCATCAAAGTGAATTTAGTAATCAACAGAAAGATGCTGCTTCTGCAGGAGATGAAATGAGAAAATCTAGTCTTAGTATATCTGGCCTTCCTCTTCATGCAGAGGAAACAAAACAGGTTCCCTCTTCATTGCCATCTGAAAGTCGGTATTCGTCTCCAATAGTTCAAAGCTTGGAAACTCACAGAAGACAGAAACAGAGTTCAGGTACCCATGGTGTGTCACAGATTCAGCAGGATTCCAGCATGTGGCCTGAGGGTGATGCCTGTAATAGGGCATCACCCTCTTTTCCAATCCAACATGCTCCTGAAGTGCCAGATGTTGTTTCTGGCAGCAAACCTTTTAGTTCATCCAAAGTGTTGGAAGTTAACTCCACAAGAAAAGCAAAGGCATCAGAGGAAAATCTGAAGGAAAGCACAATTGAAGATACAGCAACTGTAATGGAGACCTCAAACAATTTCCTAGATGAAAAAAGAGCTCCTGGATTGGAGAATCAGACCCCTTTTCAGGGCCAGCATATAGAAGCAAAGCAGATACTTCAAACTGTTGATAATACCACAGTTCAGACTCCTGTGTTAGGGCTAGTTGAGACTTCTGCTTGTGTAAAAGCTACCAAAGAACAGACAAATTTTATGGAAAAAAGAATTGGATTTGATACTAACAAAGACCAAAAAGGGGAACCAATTACCATTGATGACTTTCTTGAAGAGGATGTCATTGACCTCACACAGCAGGATCCTGAACCTGATAGGTCTGTTGAAAAAAGGACTGAGGATAAAGAGCAAGACTTGATGGACTGCTTTGTTGCTGACCTTATGGAAGAGGAGAAGGGGGAGACATCTAGTGAAGGATCTGCAAAGAGGAAGAGGAATACTGGAGAAGAAACAATAAAGTCTCTAAGCTCCACTAGTGCTGATTTCAAGGATGTGAAAAAGGCAAGACTAATTGCACCAGCTGTTAGCAATTTAAATTCCAGGGAAGACTCGGGAAGCGACAGTGATAGTGGTGTTCTTAAAACTCTTAGGAATCCCAAGCTGAAAAGGAGCATTGTACTAGATTCTGACAGTGAGACAGAAATGGAAAAATCAAAGTCTTTGAATGAACAAACACAACCAAAGGAGCAATTTAGAATGAAATCTGAAGTTAATGCTTGGGCAAAGAGAGATTGCCAAGTAGCCATTGAAAGGCTGCCATCATCTCTTGTTAAAGGTGCAGTGAGTGGGAAGGAAATAATTAATGATAAAAAGAGTGAACTAACTGTGCAAACTCTCCCTATGGATAGCAGAAGCAGAATTCTTACTTCAAAAGAAAACAAAATCTCTGGAAACACAGACAACAAAGTTTCTTCCATGGTAAGTAAGCAAATTAGCAAAACTGATCCCTATATTATATATGGTCTTCAGGACAGTGATGATGATCTTCCAGATCTCGATAACGCAGATTTAAAACCAATTCGTGAATCAGTATCCTCAGAGAATATAATAGCAAGGAGAAGTAGCACTGAAGATAACAATAAAAAGAAGGAGAAAGATCCACCAAAGGCACTCAGTGATCGAAGAGGATCTTTTGATAGGCAGTGCAGTAATCCACCTATAAAACACCACATTGGTGCCATAGGAAGAAAAGAATCTGAACCTCCAGGCAAGAGACACAAGAGGCAAAGCTCCAGGGATTCACAACCATTTGATGCACAAGAGACCAGAGATTCCCAGGGCCTCAGGCAGCAGAAAGTAAGCAGAACAGACAATCCCAATTCAGCTCCTGAGGTCTCATCATCCAAGGCAGGCAGAAGTTACAAAAACTCTGGGGAATCCTCTGATGCGGCTTCCTCTAAAGACACAACAAAGTGTGTTGTAGAAACCTCTGCTTCTAATGAAAATGATGACTACATCTTTTGCAAGCCGAGACCAGATGCACTGGTCAAAATCAAGAAAGAGAAGGGGGTACAAGAAAACGTAGTAAATGTGAAAATAAAAACAGAGAAAGTAGAGAAAGACCAATGGCATATAAACATTAAAAAGGAGCCAGAAGATAAGAAAAAGGAGTGTACAGAGAAAGAGAAAGTTAGTGACACATGTGACGATGAAGATGATGATGTTCTCATAATGTATTCTCAGGTGGATGAACCCATCTGGTTGTCTAGTGATGAGGAGGACTCTTCCACATCAGTGGCTGCAGATGTGTCTTTTGGCCCCCTTCCCCCAAGCCCAGAATTAGGCATAGAGGAATTATTTGCCACAGAAGAACAGCAGAAGGAGGCAGGAACAGCAGATAAGTCTAAGGATGGTGCTGTTACAGAAGTAGATATCGACGAGGATGACCAGTGGTTCCCTGTTTTATCTCAGTCATTCTGGGATGATGACATTGAGGAGACCAAAAAGTCATCCAAAATTGATGAGCCAGTTGCAGGTCCAAGCAGCACAGGCAGTTGTGCTAAACAAAATGATGAGTTGGAAGATGATGACAAGTGGCTTGAACTCTCACAGGGATTCATGGATGATGATGCTGATTTTGATAACAAGTCTTCCAAAGATAAAGATGCAACTGACAGCAGCTTAAAGTATCGCAGTGCAGCTGTAGAAAAAAACAAGAACAAGGACCCCAGGAAATCTCAGCTCATAGATCCTAAGATGCCTCCTGCTCGGACAAAGAGTGACAACCTTCGCAAAAGGGGTCTGGGCACCAATGATGCTGCCAATTGGGTTTCTAAACAGCCAGGTCAAAAGAAGGCATCAGACTTAGAACACAAAAGACAGGAAGAATCTGCTGAAAGGCATACCAAGACTAGAACCACAAAGATTATCACCCCACCCCAGAAGAGTCGCAGGAAGAAAGGACCCAGTTTGCGGGAAAACTTGACAGCAAAATATAACTTGCAGTCATACAAATCAACTGTAGAACAAAAGAAGGAAAACCATCACCTTGTCTTAAGAACTGAAGAAGATAAGAAGAAAGAGTCTTCCCACAGGAAATCACACTTAGTTACATCGGAACCCCGGAAAGAGGAAAACATATCAATACAAAAGAAGCCTTCTCATAAGGAAGGTGGGGACCAGGCAAAATCCAGGTCGACAGTTGCAGCCAAAATTACATCTAAGAATCGTTCAGATAAGCTCATTGACATAAACATCTTTCCTTCACCTGAAGTCCCCAAACCCCAATCGCGGAAGAAATACAAAATCCCCAAAAATGATACTACTAAGAAGGCAGATTCCAGAGATGATAAAAAAGGAGAAGGAAGTAGTCATGTACTGGATGCAAGCACCAAGAAGGCCCTTCCAGCACCTGAAATAAACACTTTGGAAAACAGTGAAATGCAGACCAGAGCAGCTCCTATGCAAAAAGATTCAGAAAAAGTTGCTGCAACAGGTGTTGGAAAAGCAAGTAGCATTAAAAAAGATACAGAGAAAGGAAATGCGAAGGCTAAGAAACATGTTCGTTTTCCAAGCCAGCTTGAAGATTTGGTGAAAGTCTTGTACATATCACCACGCAAAAATGCAGATCGATTGGGAGCATTGTCTGTTAAAGCAAAGGAAGTGTTACCCAAAGAACTCTTATTTTTGAAGTACAAGATTCCCAACAACTATTTTGATCAGTTCATTTACTTTGTGTGCAGATGGAATTATGACTGGCTTGACAGCTACAGAGTCATGCAGGAGAAGCATGCAAATGGCAAGCTGAAAGAGGTGAGGCCTCCTCCAATTGTCCAGAACACCACCTATCCAACGCTCATATTGTATGACTCATACAATGACTATAAAGAGATTTTCAGCACCCTCATGTACTATGAAGTCTGGGAGCACATATACCAGGACTGGTTACAGTACAGAAATAACAATATGTGGTTGACAGCTCAGATTGATGTAATACAACCCCTGGGTGTAGATAGGGATGTTAATGCCCCCAAGTTTTGGATGGTAAAGGTGATTACATTGATCACACAAGAACAGAGCAACCGAAACTACCATCCTAGGCAAGGTTCTCTTGTAGCCTTAAAGCTTCATGAAGGAAAGAGAAGAGTAGTGATTTTGGGCTATGTTGATAACATCATCAAGTCCAGAAAACGAAATGTTACAAAAGAACTGGATATGATGGTCCCACAGGGTGAAGTTTGCCTTCTTCTCAGCATGCGTGTCACAAAGGACACCATCCAGACTGTTAAACTAGGGAAGATAATATATGTTAGCAATGTCTCTTACATTCGCCCTGCTACGAGAACTTGGGAAGGTTTGTGCAAACTCCCTCAGTCCCCTTTGTGTGGTGACATACTCAAGCCATCTGAAGAAGTGTTCAAATGTAGTCAACACCCAGGAGAGTACATCATTCATGACATGCCTCTCAACAGTGTGCAGAAGAAGGCTGTTGTTGAAGTTAGTAGTAAATGCACTGTTGATGAGCTGGTGCCAAAGATTAGCTTGATTCACGGTCCACCGGGAACAGGTAAAACACGGACTATAACTGCCCTTATAGCCCAGATAACAAAGTCTTGCCGTGAAAATAAGAGGCCATGCAGAATTCTCCTGTGTGCCCCATCAAATGCAGCTGTTGATGAATTAACCCTACGTCTTATCAAGCTCAAAGAAATTGGGTTGTCTCTCCGCCTGGTGAGGGTTGGTGTGAAAGAAAGCATAAATAATGAGTTGAGGGAATATACCCTTGATGCTTTTGTACAGAGACAGGTTAAAATTGAACTTTCCACCCCCAAGAATGTATCGACCCGACAAGAATGGGAAAGGAAGAGGTACATGGCAAAACAGGCAGCAGATGCATTGGAAAAGGCAAGGAAGGAGAATAGGAATAAGGAGGAGATCAAGGCAATGG